TACTGATTCTATAGAAGAAAAGTAGTGTTTACTATCTAAATAGTTTATGTTTTCACAACTATTAAATTATTTATAGTAGTCTATGAATATTTCAAATTTAGTACAATGTATTCTTGTAATGACATTGCCACATAGAAAACAATAATATCAGGTCGTTGAACATTTTATTATTAATATTAAATAGCTTTTTGATTGTTGTTTCATTTGCAAATAATTTATTTTTGTTTGCAACACGTTTTATATTTTAATAAAGTAAAATTATCTACTTTGGTATTTATGTTACAACAGATAATACCAAACAACAACGTGTTCGAATTCCAATGTTGTAACGCGATGAAAAATAATAAATTTGAGCCTCTTATTATTTTACGTGGGCTATGTTTTAATTTTTATTTTTATGTGTTTAATATTAATTACAAACTAGCAATCCTGATAACATAGTCTAATTGTTTAAAAACTACAAATATTCAGTGTTGATTTCTTTGAAGGTTTTGTTTAACGTGACTTATTAATTACACTGAATTTAGAATATTTTCATAAATACATAAGTTTAATAGTAAATAACTTTCAAATTCATTGTGGTGATTGGAGATGAAGAATGTATTATAAACTATTTTAAATTAGGAATCCAATTTTCAAAAGGTCATATTATAAAGTATATCTTCTCTTACAACGTTTTATAAATGCGCAAATAGTCAAAGAACGTTAAAACGTCAAATGTTAATCGTTTTAATTTTTTGCTTCAAATGTGATAACTATACTTATATGAATTAAAGAAGGTAATTTTCTTACCAAGTTTCAAGTTTATCAAGGAAGAACCAGTTTTGAATAAAAAATTATCAATTAACTTCCACAAACGAATCATTTCAAATACTAATTACAAAACTGATTATCCCAATTAGAATAATTCTGCAAAGTTATGTATACTCGTATAGCTGATACGCAATCGTTAAAAATCTTATTATTACATAGCGCACACATTGCGTAAAAATATCTTTAAATAAGATGTAATCATTGAGATCTTCGAAGATTTCACTGGTATTCATCAGTAAATACTTGCACGGCGTATTCAAAATTGTTTGTAAAATATAAATACAAGAAATGTTATTCATATTTCGAAAACTGAAACTCGACTTTCTTTGTATATAACTCTTATCTGTTGAAAGGTTAAATGTAGTTAAATGCAGAAAAAAATTTGACAGGGTACGGTATCATTTTCTAAAGAAAACTGTTGGGTTTTAACTTTTATATACAATTTGATTGAATTTAAAATCCACAAGTGTAAGCTTGAATTTTTTTTGTTTTAAATATTGGGACACAACGGCCCAATTTGTCTTCAAGCACTACATCACAACACATAATACGTTTCGAACAAATAACTATCTGACTATGTTCAGTAAAATTCCCAGTGAATTCATTATTTGGCTAAAAACACACATTATTAGAAATGTGTGTTTTTAGCCCGGCCAATTTACGCATTCAAAATTACAATAGTTCATAATGGACTTCAACTTGGTAAAATTGTTTAAAATACAATAATAGAAAAAATCTCAAAAGACGACCTCATCGTTCCAGTGCGAGTTAAAAAATTGACATAAGGTCAAAGGTCAAAAAATGATTTTTCTCCGATTTTCAGCTAAATGGTCAGTTTTATCGCAAAATTACCCGACTGAGACAGAATTGTAGAGCATATAAAATTATCTACAAAAATTGTATCAATACTTTATTCCCTCGGGGCCACTGTTTTAAAAAAATTTATTTATAATTATATTTTGAACAAATTTATTAAGTTACAGCCCATTACAAATTATTGTTTCCTTCGCGCTGGTTTTAGGTTTAAATTGAACGGGTGATTTTGCTGTTTTTCAAAAATTTGTTTCCTGATCGATTTTACCCTATAGGCGAGGTAAAATAGAATGGCTACGGGGCAAACAGATCCAATGTTTTAATTTTTAATTTCCAAGGAATTTTAGGAAGTGAAGTGGGTACATTTTTTACAGCGACGACACTGTATATAACTTTGATCTGATACTTGGTCAAAAATATTCATTACTGGAGTTATTACACTACGTAGCTCTGAATCTTGTTCATATTCATAAAACCTGAAAATTAAAACCGGAAACAATATTTGTCATCTGCAGATGTCATAAAATTATTGTACCTATTGCGTTATTGCGCAATACAGTGCCTGAGTCAATATGAATTTCTGAATTCACAAATAAGCAATAGAAAGTAATTAACACGTTGAGTATTTCAAGTGAGGCGTGTTTACGTACGTTAATTTGACTAAACGGAGAAAGTCTACTATTTCTGAATTTAGTATTATATCCTCGGCATTACTTAGTAACGTAATATATGACGGAATAGCTTATTACAACCATAGGCAATCCATTCTAGCTATTTTTGGCTCTAATGAAAATTTTGAAATGAAACGTATAATTACCAATTATAACTTTTCCACTTGTACCTTTGTGCTAAATACCAGTCACTACTTTTTGCGCACAAGATTATTTTATAGAGAAAGTAATCCAGGATCTATGCGATAATAAAATTAATTAGAAAAGAGCACTAAAGGACAAAATCTTATTAAACAATCTAATTGCTATCAATTAAAACAATATGATTAGTTTACCGATCATGAGTTTCGAAAGTTGTCGACTCTTAAATTTTTGAACACCTCATTTGAAAGTAATAAAAAAGCTTGAATATTTTCGTGAAAAGGTTTTCCATACGATATATCACTAACATCGATGATTCTCACAATCTAATTTTTATAACTTATCATTAAAACGGTATACAATTGCTAATTAATACTAAAGAGTACTTAGTTCTTAAAAAGGTATTTGAACTAAAGTGTAAAAGCAAAATCAGCCATTTTGTTGTTGATTAACGCCCAGGATATAAGTGATTTTTTTTTCTTACAAGTTACATCTAAACACGGATCAAAATCTTAAATATCATTATGTATTAGGATTTGAAGATGTTCTAAGATTTATCCCATGACTGTTTCCTCAGAAGTATATAATGTTCATCACATTTCTCGTACGATACTTCCTAGCTCAAATTACTACCATTTTATACGTTTACGGGAATGAAGTTAAATATCTATAAATAATTTCAATATATTTACCAATAATTTTCTCACTTGTAAAATTAAGTGTATATTAAGTGTATACCAATCAATATCGCTAGTGTGAATAAATAAATTAGTATAAATAGGAATGATTTGGACAAATGCACATTAAGTTTAAGATGTTAATGATGGTTACTCATAAGAGATTTTTTACTTTACTTTTAGTATTTAACTGTTCTTACTTTTCAAGTGAGATTTTACTCTAATTTTTTAAATTTTTATTTAAAATAATCTATAATAAACATTACCAATAAGTTCATTATTTCTAAATTATATAAATGTGATGATACTTTCTGTGATGTGATGAAAATCTAGCATAGAATTCTGAAAATTATCTGAATAATACTCAATAATACTTTCGATTTTTATCTTCGTTTTTGTAAAATAACTTGGTACCATAATAATGATTACAATTTTACAATATCCAGTAAAGAACATGTTCAAAATCATGCAAACTGAAAGATAATTATATATTTCAAGATTTTATTATATCATTCTGGATATGAATCCGATGAAGTAAGATAACCGCACGATTCCATTGCATAAAGTACCTACAAGATCACGGTAGTAAATGAATTATTTTTCATAAATCAAAAAAAATGATAAAGCATATAGAATATTTGAAAAGAATTAAATAAATTTTATAACTACAAAATATTATTAAATCTTATCGCCAAAAATATCAATATCCAATACCATCAAAATACCATCAAAAACTAACATCAAACATAGTTTACAATATGAATTGTTGAATACTATTTTATTCACCAAGTCATATATATTGTACGGTGCATTCAGCAAATAATTTCAAAACAATTTTTTTTACTTTGATCAAATGGAACTTTTTGCTACTAATTTAACTAAGAATTTCGAGATCTGGTGAATAGTTTTCATGCTTTCAAAATTGAAAAAAACGGTTTGAATTTTATTGATGCTATGAAAGCTTGGAAACTATATATATATATATATATATATATATATATATATATATATATATATATATATTCTTCTAGTGCTTTTAAATCAGCCTGAAAGAATAATTTGAGTGATATATCCGCTTTCTCACACCGGTACAAAGCTTATTAAATAACTGCTTTGTTTTAGTCTTACGCAACAAAAATATACACACGCAATACATTTAATAACACAAATCTAATAAATACTGGAAATAAATAATCACGTTTTCAATCACTGAGTAATTGAATCTTTTAAGTTCATATTAAACTATTAACTAGATGGTTAATTGATTTGATTGCTTATGTGATATGGACATTTAAGCATGCGATTCATAACAGGAATTTTTGAGTTTCTCATAGTTTTTCTAGAGTAAGTTCTTTCGTGCTGTAAATTGATTTATCAGCAAGTAAAAATGAAAATTTTACCGATGTTGGATAATGATAATGAGATGGTATTTATTTTTCAGATTCACCAGTTAAGATAATTGTTTTAATTGTATTATTTACCATCCAACTTCAATCTTTGCTAATTCTATGCAACAGCAGGGCAGTGTCCTTTCAAACACAGAAAGCGACCAAATTTTCAATAATGAAACTAAAAATTGAAACGATACCTTCAAAATTATACGAGGAATCTTTCATAAATTGCATAAATTATTGCCAACTTATTTTGGAAAAAAATAAATTATCTTGAGAAAATCGTCTGATGTACATTTTTGTTTTCATTCTTTATCTTAATCTACTTTTCAAAATTGCAAGTCATTCTGCTTTTCTTCGGTAGTCTAGAAATTTCTTACTTATCATTTTTCTAATGCGACCATTTATAGATGAATCATAATTTGATTCACTATTATCATAGTTTGAAAATCGGAATTTTTTTAAGAAAATTAATCGTTTTTTTATTGTTGCAGATCCGACCTCAGTATGAATTATACAGGCGCGACACGGAAACTTCTTTAGGCGAACCGTTGAATACATTCTGGGCAGAATGTTATGAAGCAGGTAAAGCCGCAGCAGGAGCAAGAGCTAGGGCTCAACAAGATAGTCGGGCCAGATTTCAGGTAATTATATTTTATTAGTTTTCCCATATTTAAATATCAAATAATTATTAAAATATTTATTTCTAGGCCCGTGTAGTGGCTCCTTGGCGTGCAAGACAAGCTGAGGAAGTGGCGCGTTTGGCGACCGCCACGGCGCAACGTCGAAGCAGGGATTTGCAGGTGGAAAGAGAATGGAGACACTGCAGGCAGTTTTTGATGGGAGAGCGCGGTCCTTGGAGGCAGAGGTAAGTTTTTAGATTGATCTTTGCATGTTCTGGGTGGAAATTTATTTTGATATATATCACGTCATATTTTTATTTCAAAAATACCGAAATTTCTGAATATATCCTGAAAACTATTCTTGTCTGATATCAGACATATACTCTCATATTGACTGGGAGTTCAACAACTTTTCCGTCGGAATCTTTGAAGAATATATTAGTAATATCCAGATTCTGTGTTCTACCTAGTCAGTTGTAAGACGACGCTAATAAAAAGTTATGTGGTTGGCTATAAATATATTTAAAAAATGACAGGTTAAAAATATCGGTTGAGAATCTAGCATTGCAAACTTCTTGGGTTTGGCAAGGACAGTAAAAAAACAATTATTTTTAGCTAACAAAAACATGTGCGAAACATTTATTCATATGCATGTGATGTTTGTAACTATTCAAGATCAGTTGTCAACTGTGAACGCTGTCAACAGAAAATTTAAATTCTCGCCCCGAACCTAAAGTTGACAAATTCGAAGAAGTATGAATGACTTTTATATACTAGTTTATAATAATTTAACCTAGTAGTGTCTAGGTGCTGTATAATCTATCATTTGTTGGATTTTGAGAAATATCAATAAAATAGATTACTTTACACATTTTCCAGAATCAACTTTTGTTCTAACATAGCTACACGTTGCTAATAATTATTATACCTTACAATTGTTGCGATTAACATATTATATGGACTTGGGATAGACAAGTACATAAATGATAGATGCATATTTAACGACTCAATTAAATTTTAAATTGGGTTAATATGGAAAGTCCTTGTAATACGAATCCTATTATTCTATATTGCCGTTTAATTTTAATATACGTGCCAAGAGGGGAGAAGTATGCGTAGATTAATACTCTGCCAACATATGGGTTATAAATTACAATAGTGATGGTGTTATTGACACTATTATGCACTTACCTTTCATAAACCAATAATGGTTGCATGTAACTTAGCGACCGCAGATTTCATAATATTTATCGTAGGGCAGAAGAAGTTGCGGCCAACATTGATACATAATACGAGGCTAAAACACTTTTCACATTAGAAATATGAATCGTGTTTGTGCTAATTCAAAACATCAAATGGTATTCTTCTAAGAATATCTAAAAAAATTTTAGTATGTTTGTTAATGATAATTATATGAATATCTTGAAGCTGATACATCATGCGAATAATATTGTGGTCTTCTAGTTCAACAAAGTTGTAACAACAAAGCAAAAACCACTAACAATAAGATTCCATCGAAAACCACTAACAATAAGTTTCCATCCAGTTTGATCATACATATAAATGATAACAGAATTTTCACGCAATTCTGAGATTCTCAGAAATCTCAGCAAACTATAGTTTTTTTCCTAAAATTTACAAATTCATATGTGCACACATGTGAAAGATCTCTCATGAAAAGATCGTACCTCGATGACTCGGATTGTTAAGTAATATTCTTACCATTGCAACTGTGGGCTGTAAATAATACTGTTCTGTTAGTATAATTTTGGTACTTGTTGCAAGTTTTTATTACAATAAATGATTTGTCACTTAGTATTAATACTTAGTTGTTGAAGAAAAAAAATAAGTCCGATCCAACTCTGCGCTACCCCTCACCCGGGGTATACAACCTCCGGTATAAAAGCTCAATGTCATGAAGATCGCTGTCTTTATGGCCAATATAAGTGATATGAAAATACGCCCAAACAATCAGAAAAACATTTTTGAGATCTCTGAAAAAATCTGACAACTGACAAACAGAAGAAAATCTTTTTCTTCTGTACAGTTGTATTCAGGATGCTCTTTGATTTAAAAAAATATCACCCGGCGAATTTTAAAAATTTTATTGGATTTTATCTGATCTGTGTGAAAATGGTTTAATCGTTAATACGAGTTTGGTTCTATGTTGATCTAAACAAAGCTGAGCACGTCTTGAAGGAAAAGTGAAATTACATTCTCCATATATACCGCGTGGGATCATTTGTCGTCGTTCGGCTGCTTACAAACGATGCTCTTAGAGTTAATATTAACACGTACTCGACTCATACGGATAGTACCTATAAAAAGCAGTGAAATAGATGTAACTCAATATTGCCTCATCATATAAATATCGATGCTATTTTAGCAAACTTATGCTTTTGCGGTATATAAATATCGGCAAATATAAGCATCCATGTACTTGCGAATTAAGATAATTTCATGTTATGATAATTAATTAGTCGACATTCTTAGTAAGCGCATGTTTTATCTATTCTCATATATAATTACTTGAAATATTATAATCTTTTGAGTATGAAAGAATTCTATTGACACGGCACAAATCGGATGATTTGATACCAACGCTAATAGTCCATACTAGAGATGGGCTTATCATATCCGAAGCCGGATCGACTCGGATTTGACTCCGCTTCATGGTGGAGTGATATCCGCTTAACAACTCCACGACTCCGACAATTTTGAAACCGAAATACTCGACACAAATGTGTTCTATAGTGCGTTGTTTATGTATCTAAGGATTTGTCAGATCCCATTAATTATTTGAAATGAAAATTTATGAATAAATATCAATAAAATAATTTTTCTAAAAAATTCACGAATAAATGACGGATTGTAAAATTTTTCGGTCGAAAGATGATCGACTCAGTGACTCGTAATTTTAGCAGTGTTACCAAAGTAAAAACGCAAAACTTGAAAATTAAATTCAATTTAATTATTTCCTTTTGGTGAGAAAATAATTGATTTTTTGGATGAATTTTATATAAAAATTGTGTAGTAAACTTTGTAATAAAAGCAAAACATAATACTTCTGTTTTCAAACATTTTCTTCTGCTATTTCCATTCGAGAATTAATATTATATCGGGTAGTTCGATTAGCATATTATTACTTTTATACAGTTATATAATTCTGAAAAGTAATATTATAATACTAAATATTTTTTGCTGCTTAAATTCTAATAATATCACTGATAAATTTTGTACTCTAAAGTGTTGTTATTTCAGACTATAGAAAAACCAGATTAAATAAATGTTTCGTATATTTTTCGGTATGTATATTCCTGATTGCCGTCATTCACGGTCAAAGTTTGTCGTTGTTAGAAATATGACCCCTTACTATTCAATACATTTTACATTTGAGCTATTCACACTTGAACACAATTTCATTATTGTGTATCTTTGAAGTAACATTTTTGTATTTTCTGGAAAATACACAACGGTTTGTATTATCTTGACTTTTATACCTAAAAGGTCATTAAAACTGCCTGTGAGATGAGAAAGTGACCGCTTCCTTCCCAAAGCAAAAACGCCAAAAACAGTAAATATCTGCACGAGTTAACAGATTTAATACCAGTTTAGGGAAGTCGGATATGACAAATCCTGTGAAACAACTCCACTCGGATTCACTCCGAGGCAGGAGTTGTATCGGAGTGATAACTCCGGAGTGAGTTACCTATCTCTAGTCCATACCATTTCAACCTTATTTATCTACAGTAGAAGTCCTTTAGTCCGGCGCCCAACAGTTCGGAATGCCCGGTAAACCGGATTTTTTTTCAAAATTTCCGTTTTTTTTTCAAAAAGTGCTCGAGAACCATTATAATATTTTCGGCGTGGTTCGGAATGATTTACAAGGACTCGCTATTTTTCGGTTATCCTTGTGTTCATAGTAAATTCCGTTGTGTCTAGGTTCATGAACGAAGTATGTTCTACGAAATGCGTAGCTCCTACGTTCTACGAAGGATTTGGTCGTTTTTGAAGTCATTTAACTATACATTGACATGTCTTTTCGAAAAAAAATTCAAATGGAAAAAATAACTATCTATTTGATATATTTTTTATTGTGAAGCAATGTCATTGTGTTTTAAGAGCGATGATATATTGCAGCAATGCCAACAAATGCCCCCACACTTTGAAACATATTTTTATCAAGCTTAATATCAAGTTGTTCACAACTTTGATTTGAATTTAAATATGTATTCAAAATTTATTTGAATCATATTTTTGTTTGTGCGAACAGCAATCAAATGCGAAACTTCAATCTAGGTTTATTAATATGATCCCAGAACCATTTGCTTATCCTCTATCTGGTGAGATTTTTTATCAGATTTTTTATCTAATTCTGACGTGATAAGTATATATCACATCATTGTTTTCGAATAATTAATATCCTTTGTTATATCTTATAATTCATATTTTGGATATATTATTTCAAGTAAAAACCTGATATTACTACTACTACTTTAATTTTTCATTTCCATGGTTAAGGAATGAAATATTTTCGAATTTAAGGAGGCTGGTAATACAGTTGTTCAATCATCAAAAATTTAAGATTTATAAGAGACTCATAACGTTTCTAATATAGTTCCTACCTGCAATTATACCATAATTTTATTTCAATCATTAATTTGTGATATATCTGGACGTGATTAAGTATTTATTTCTCAATTTATATGAATATTTATATGGATGTGTTTTATAATCGGAAATTGATTTAAATGTATCATGTATTAAGGAAGTCATTTATTGCCACTTTCATATCGAGGCATCTAATTTCACAATAAGCAATTGGCACAATCACTCATAAATAGTGTACAGCTAATTCAGCAAATTTAATGGGAAACATATAATCCATATTTTTTAATTTACATAAGCAATTAATTTAGTCTATGTTCCATTTAGAGCACAATGTTATTATTTTATCCTTCTCATTTTTTTAACTATTCTCCAAGTCGATTTAAAATTATTTATTATTCTTATCTCTAATTGAATGAAGCTCTTGAATCACCAAAACTTAACTTTCATGCTTTTGCCTAATATATGTAAGAATTTCTATTAGATAAATAGATCTATGGTCAACATATTCTGTATTTAAATTATTTTGTAACGCTATTTGTATTGAAAATCATATTTACAAAAAAATACGTTAAGATTTTGCGGTGACATTTCTATATGCAATATTGTGTAATGTATTGGAGAAAGTAGTAGGTAT